TTCTACACACCCTAACCTGAGCCTCACTATCCTCATAAAAGCTCTTTACAGCATTTAGTAACTTACCACCTATTCCATATACTTGCAACATCTGCCACATTGCTCCTCTATCCACTCTATCATATGCCTTTTCTAAATCCATAAATGCAATAAAAACTTCCCTACCTTTATCTAAATACTGTTCACATATATGCTTCAATGTAAATACTTGATCTACACATCCCCTACCCACTCTGAAGCCTCCTTGCTCGTCCGCAATTCTACATTCTGTCTTACCTCTAATTCTTTCAATTATAACCCTACCGTATACTTTTCCTGGTATACTCAGTAAACTTATTCCTCTATAATTTTTACAATCTCTTTTGTCCCCTTTCCCTTTATATAAAGGGACTATACATGCTCTCCGCCAATCCCTAGGTACCTTCCCCTCTTTCATACATTTATTAAACAAAAGTACCAACCACTCCAACACTATATCCCCCCCTGCTTTTAACATTTCTGTCATGATCCCATCAGTTCCAGCTGCTTTATCCCCTTTCATTCTACGTAATGCCTCACGTACCTCCACCACACTTACATTCTGCTTTCTTCACTCCTAAAAGATGGTATACCTCCCTGGCCAGTGCATGAAATTACCGCCTCCCTTTCTTCCTTAACATTTAAAAGTTCCTCAAAATATTCTCGCCATCTACCTAATACCTCCCTCTCCCCATCTACTAACTCCCCTACTCTGTTTTTAACTGAAAAATCCATACTTTCCCTAGGCTTTCTTAACTTGTTTAACTCCAAAATTTTTTTTTATTTTCATTAAAATTTCTTGACAGTGCCTCTCCCACTCTTTCATCTGCTCTCCTTTTGCACTCTCTCACCACTCTCTTCACCTTTCTTTTACTCTCCATATACTCTGCTCTTCTTATAACACTTCTGCTTTGTAAAAACCTCTCGTAAGCTACCTTTTTCTCTTTTATCACACCCTTTACTTCATCATTCCACCAATCACTCCTCTTTCCTCCTGCCCCCACCCTCCTATTCTGGAGTTTATCTGGAGAGAGTTCCGGGGGTCAACGCCCCTGCGGCCCGGTCTGTGACCAGGCCTCCTTAGGTCAGTGTCCCAGGATGCGACCCACACCAGTCGACTAACACCCAAGTACCCATTTTACTGATGGGGAACATAGACAACAGGTGGAAAGAAACACGTCCAATGTTTCTACTCTGGCTGGGAATCGAACCCAGGCCCTCACCGTGTGAAGCGAGAGCGTTAACCACCAGGCCACCAGAGCCCTACATTCTAATACTGCATTTTTAAAACTATTCCAACCCTCTTCAACCTCCCCACTACTCATCTTTGCACTAGCCCACCTTTCTGCCAATAGTCGCTTATATCTCGCCCGAACTTCCTCCTCCCTTAGTTTATACACTTTCACCTCCCTCTTACTTGTTGTTGCCACCTTCCTCTTTTCCCATCTACCTCTTACTCTAACTGTAGCTACAACTAAATAATGATCCGATATATCAGTTGCCCCTCTATAAACATGTACATCCTGGAGCCTACCCATCAACCTTTTATCCACCAATACATAATCTAACTACTTTCATTACGTGCTACATCATACCTTGTATATTTATTTATCCTCTTTTTCATAAAATATGTATTACTTATTACCAAATTTCTTTCTACACATAGCTCAATTAAAGGCTCCCCATTTACATTTACTTTTATACTTACATTTTTTTATTTACACTTACCTTGGAGGAGATGTTAGTTTAATTAATTAGTTTGATGGAGGAGATGCTGGCAGAGATTTAGGGTGGTGGAAGATAGCAGGTCAGTGTATGTTCAGTGGCCCGATACACATCCAACAACATTGGAGAGTTATCGCCGTGTCGTTTTTCTATCGCTTACTCGCTTAACTTACTTGCTACACTGTTAATTCTACACTTTATCGTTGGCTGGCACTATAACCTTTATCGATACCTGCTGCTTTAGTACTGCACATATCATAGAATCACTGAATCATTGCAGAAGACACATTCACCCCTCTTCCTCTTCCACTTTGGTACTTTGCTACGAGTTTTTTCTTGAATTCTATTGTGTTTCTTTCCTCCTTTACCACAGGGCTGACACTAGAAGCTTTCTTTGGGCCCATGGTGGCTTATTTAGCAGTTACAAGCACTAAAAACAATGGAATAATACAAAATATATCGCATGTATGTGAGGAACCATCCTCCCTGGCTTGTAAACAATGGCACACTGGCTTTACATGCACTCAGTCGGCGCGGACACATTCGGGACGAATGCCCTTAACCGAGTTCTTGGGCATTAGCCGAGCCAATATTTTGACGCAAAAACGTGCTGCTATCCAATTTTGGCATTAGCCAATGCCGCCGTTACCCGAGGGTCCACTGTAATGTAATTACAATTAATCTGTTCCAGACACCCAAAAATATTAACAAAAAAATGCATTTTTTAAAAATTAATTACAGTTTTACATACACAAAACAATGAGAACTAAATAAAATAAATAAATGAACATTTAAATCACTATTACATACCTTTATTGAAGACTCTTGTTGGCTTATGGAAGACAGGGAGGAGGAGAGGGGAGGACTGTTTATTGTTAGGAAGGGGAATCCCCCTTGATAAGGACTTTAGGTATCAAAGCCCTCTCTGGGGTTATGTCCCCTCTTTGTCTTTTACTGCCACTAGGACCAGCTTGAGAGTCACTGCACACCTGTGCACACAAAAAAAACTGTCCAGAGAGGCCTCTTTCTAGCGTCTCTAAGATTTCCCTGAAGTGGGACAAGGTTTTGTCACTGAACATGTTGCAGATATGGCTTGTTTCAGCTAGGTCAGGGTGATATTTCTACACAAAAGTTTGCACCTCATTCCACTTTGCACAAATGTCCTTAATCACTGAAGAAGGCACCTTCTCCCCTCTCTCTCCCTCCTCCTCTAAAGCAATTTCCTCAGCTGTGGTCTGTTGCTGTTCCAGATGAAGGTCTTGCAGCTCTTACCTGTGGTCCTCCACCAACTCTTCCACATCCTTGCCACTAACCTCCAACCCCATGGACTTCCCCAAAGACACAATACATTCCACAATAGGAGTAGGGTCCTCAGGGTCAGCCCCAAACCCTTCAAAATCCTTGTCGAGGACACAGTCTGGCCACAATTTTCTCCAAGAAGAATTCAAAGTCCTGGAAGTCACTCCCTGCCAAGCCTTACCTATAAGGCTTATGGAATGAAGAATACTGAAGTGAATCCTCCAGAACTCTCTTAGGGTCAAGTCACTTCACTTGAAACACTGCTTTCGTGTAGTTTTTTTAGAAGTTAGAAATAACCTGCTGGTCCATGGGCTGGATGAGAGGAGTGGTGTTAGGAGGCAAGAACTTCACTGTTATAAAATGGAAGGCCCTAAACAATTGGTCTTCCAAGTCTGGAGGATGAGCAGGAGCAGTGTCCAGTACCAGGAGGCACTTGAGTGGCAATTTCTTTTCCAGGAGGTATTTTTTCACACTCAGGCCAAACACATCATGGACCCACTCTTTGAAAATTTGCCTCGTGACCCATGCTTTATTATTAGCTTTCCACATCACACAATTTACTCTTGACGATACTATTTTTCTTGAACATTCTGGGATTTTCAGAGTGACACAACAGTAAAGGCTTCTCTTTGAAATCCCCACTAGTGTTACCACGTAACAAAAGAGTAAGCCTGTATTTCACAGGCTTTTGTTCTGGCAGTGCCTTTTCCTTTTGCATGTTGTAGGTCCTCTTTGGCATTTTCTTCCAAAAGAGGCCTGTTTCATCACAACTGAACACTTGTTGGGGAAAGAATCCTTGAGCCTCTATGTACAGTGGACCCCGACATTCGATGGCATCGACAATCGATAAATCCGACATTCGATGCATTTTAACTCAAAAATTTCGCCTTGACATTCGATCGAAAACCCGCTATTCGATATGATTCGTATGAGACGTGTCCACGTGTGGCCTGAACTGCCCCGTGTGTGCCAGTGTTTACAAGCCAGCCTGTGTGCGCGCATCTACCAGTGTGCCAGCCACTACCAGTGGTATCAGAAATGAAAGTATATTGCACAAATGTTGCACATGGGTTATAATTGAGGTTTTTTATATTTCCTCGACCGCTTGTGGCCACATCCATCTCAAAGCCACTAAACTTTGGGTCAACATCGCTTTCCTCTTAAAAGGGGTGTTAATGTGACATGACATCAGTGAATTCCTGGTGTTAGCCACGCTACTTGTTCTAACTGGTGCTAAATGAACTTGTGTTCCCAGAAGGTACTAAGTGGTCCCAGATTTTTTCAATACTGCACACACCAAGTGTTAACACCCATTCTATACTGACCAGGCATCTCAGGCCAATCATGCCAAATTTGGAGGCAGGAAAAATAAACCGTAGATCTATGTTTGGAGCGCTTGAGGTGCAAACGTAGATCTACGTTTGGACAATTTAAGGGTGAATATGAATTGATTCAATTACCTCTTCTTTCAGGTCAGCTGTCACTTCACCTGAAGAACTGAACTTCCTTCTTTCTTTCAACAAACCGGCCGTATCCCACCGAGGCAGGGTGGCCCAAAAAGAAAAACAAAAGTTTCTCTTCTTAAATTTAGTAATTTATACAGGAGAAGGGGTTATTAGCCCCTTGCTCCCGGCATTTTAGTCGCCTCTTACGACACACATGGCTTACGGAGGAAGAATTCTGTTCCACTTCCCCATGGAGAAAGAACTGAACTATTAACACTAATATTTTAATTATCATAATTGCTACTTAGATGTTCTTTAGCCCTATCTGCATATTTTTTTTATGCCTGCACATGAATATTACAACATGTATACATATACAGGAGGTCCCGCTATACAGTGCTCTACTTTACAGCATTTCGCTTATACAGTGGTTTTTCAATTATATCCATATCAGCAAAAATTCTGTTAGTGTCTCATCACTTCATAAAATAAAACAAATATTGAAAAATTCACCTCAACAAGCGCTGCATCTATGCTCTTGTTATACGTCAGTATTTGATGCTTAACAAGAGACAATTTGACTTCTCCTCTCTTCACACCTGCTTGAGAATAATTCTTCATAATCACAGGCTGAAATTTAAATTAAATTTAATGCATATTCATTCCAGTTAAGTACACAAAATATCAAAAATATGTGAAGTGACCTATCTTTGGATGCCACCCCATCATATAATACTGATCTAATGTTTGGCTCTTACCCTACTTCCATTTATTTGAAACTTGATATGATCTTAAAAAAATAAAACATAGTTCAATTTTCATCTGTAATCTGTATGTTTCTTGTGACAGCTTCAGCATGTAGTATTTTGATTAATTCTAAATTTGAAATATTATTCAAAATTTTTACCCTTTTTTATAATTTTAGGGAAAATTCTCAGTCATCCTTTCAAATCTGTAAAAACAGTACTGTGCATATCCTGTATAAACTTCATAATTTATCATAAAAGGTAAATGCACAAAGGGAGATATTCTTACAACTTTGCCTATATTGTTAACGTATTCCAAAGTAAACGCAGCGTTTGTTTCAGTAACTGTAGGTCGGGGAAGGCTTACAGTCACTGCCCAATAAGTCAGGGGTGACTGCTTGAATGCCTTGGATCGCCTTAAGCTCTTCTGCACATTTTCAGTTAGTTTTTTATTGGTACTTAGAAGCATGAGACCACTACTCCATCTGAAAGAGGAATAAAAAGAAACTTTAATGTACAAGATACTTTTTCACTTTACTCAGTACATACCTATATAAGCTACAAACAAAATAATAGTAATTATCCTTTTTGAATTATAAAATATAAATATGCATTTCCTAGGTAGTAGGTTGGTAGACAGCAACCGCCCAGGGAGGTACTACCGTCCTGCCAAGTGAGTGTAAAACGAAAGCCTGTAATTGTTTTACATGATGGTAAGATTGCTGGTGTCCTTTTTTCTGTCTCATGAACATGCAAGATTTCAGGTACGTCTTGCTACTTCTACTTACACTTAGGTCACACTACACATACATGTACAAGCATATATATACACACCCCTCTGGGTTTTCTTCTATTTTCTTTCTAGTTCTTATTCTTGTTTATTTCCCCTTATCTCCATGGGGAAGTGGAACAGAATTCTTCCTCCGTAAGCCATGCGTGTTGTAAGAGGCGACTAAAATGCCAGGAGCAAGGGGCTAGTAACCTCTTTTCCTGTATATATTACTAAATATAAAAGGAGAAACTTTCGTTTTCCTTTCGGGCCACCCCGCCTTGGTGGGATACAGCCAGTGTGTTGAAAGAAAGAAAGAAATATGCATTTGTACATAAACAGAACCATGAACTTGCCAGGATTTCATCTCTTATTAACAACAATCCTTTCAAGGGTTCTTAATTCAAGAAACTGGAGTTACCCTCCCCTTCCTTGTATCAGACCTAATAATCTCCAATTTCCCAAGTGATGCATGTCCTCAGGAGGTTTAGTGTGCTACCTCATAATTCTAATAATTAATAACAGTGTATAAACACTAATCATGACTTACATATAATAAATCAGCATTAGAATAACAATAAGGAGGGCAGTGAAATTTATATAAAAGATGGATGTAAAACCTACGAAGAAGTTGAACATAACTAGTATTTACTCTATATACCAAACTGACCTTTAGCCTTGCAAGGAAGTCTATCACTGATTAAAGATATATATGCCAACAAAGATAATTAAAAGACAGTGAGGAGAAGTTGTTCAGGTTTGGGCATTCAGAGGGAATGGAGCAGAATAGGATGACTAAGAGGGAAGGAAGGAGTGGTAGGGGTCATTCTAGGAAGTTTTGGAAGGAGGGAATAAGGGGATGTTTTAGTACTAGGAGCCTGAACATGCAACAGGCTTGTGTGAGTATGTTAGATTGGACTAAGTGGAGACAAGTAGTTATTACAGCTTGAAGTTCTGTAGAAGTGTGAGCAATGTAACATTTATGAATGGATTCAGGGAGACTGGTTAGCTGGACTTGACTACTGGAGGTGAGAAGTACAATGCCTGCAGTCTAAAAGAGGGATGAGGATGATACAGTTTGGAGAGTCAACTGAACTGTGAGCTCAGTAAACTTCTGGCAAGACAGCAACTGAATGAGTGATAGTAAACTTTTTTTTTTGTGTGTGTGTGTGTGAGGGGGGGAGGTCACCCCAATCTAGGTGGGTGATGGCCATTGTGTAAAAAATAAAAGAAACATACAAAATTAATTACCAACAGACTACAGAATGGGCAGCAATGCTTTAAATACATTTTCAAGTGCACTTAATGTCATTTCATTAAGACACCGATTTTACAACCAATTTTGGAAAAAATGAAATGTAAGTGATATAAAAAGAGGTACAGATTATCATATAAAAAACTTATGAACATATTCTGTAAAACAAAATTTAATCTTTACACATGTAGGTTGCAAATCTACTATATGCAGTTCAACTTCCAGAATGCCTAAATTACGTTCCCTGCAGACCTCCCAACAATGTTTTGAATATCCCATAGTTTGCACTGAGATCTCAGAGATGCAGAGGTGAGAATTCAATCCACTAACTGCTCCTGTCTGGCAGTGAGAGTGAAAATTATTCCCTGCTAAAGGTAATGCACATTAAGGGGGAATGTTGTTACATTTTTTTATTTTCATTTTTGTAATAGCTTAGAAAAGTGGCATACCTATGTCAAAAAATACTTGTGCAAGGTTTTAAAGATCTGTGACAATATTTTCACCACTGTCAGTACAATTTTTTATTTTTTTTTTAAGCTAAAAATCGCATTGCATTGGCTGTAATAACAAGGAGTAGCATCCTAAGGATGTACCTTAGACTAAATTTAAATCCTAGACACCCGTGATAATATCTTTGGCTGCCACCGGAGGGTTGAAATTTTATATGAAATTTAAAATTTCTAATTTTTAAAAATAACATAAATATGACATTTTCATCACACTTTATTTTAATAATTAGGAATAGCAGTCTAATGATGCATTTTAAACCAGGTTCAAATCTTAGAGACATATAGCATCTTTAGCTACTGCTGATATCTCCAAATAATGGTGAAAAAATCCTTTGACCACTCTGAATGCATGTAGTGTTTCACTTTTGTCAATTATGAAAGCAATATATTGATAAAACAACTCAGAGCTCACCATGGGGAAGTGGCTATATGTCAACTGCTGCTATCACTGCTTCATCTGTTCTTGATGACATGTGAGTTACACAGAAAGACATTTATCTGCAGTAATAAACACACAAAGTAAGAAGAGCTAGAAAGAGAGATTGACCAATTGGAAAACAGATGGTGCTGAAACAGAAGATATTATAGAAAGTGTCTGGGATTGAAACCTAGTCTGGGATGTCTTAGGATACTATTCCTTGCTATTACAACCAATTCTAATAAAATGTTTAATTAAACAATAAATAAAAAAAAAACACATTTTGATACAAGTATATTTTTGGCAATTTCAACGTTGTGACAGTGGTAGAAGATATCAGAGATCTCCAAGATTTTACACAAGTATTTTTGATGTGGGTATGCCACTTCTCTGCACTACTGTATTACAAAAAGAAAAGAAAAAATAGTACAAAAATGCTCTGTCCTAAATCGAACATTTGGCACATTATTTTGTGTTTTGCTATAAATTATAAAAGAAAATGAATACTGTACATTCATAAATGATATAATAGCTGGTATATATACATAGAATACATATAGAATAATAAAATAAACTGGTAATTTATTTACCTTAGAGGGGGGAAAAATAATTTGTTACTGGGCAAACTTATATTTTTATTACCTGGAGAGAGTTCCGGGGGTCAATGCCCCCGCGGCCCGGGCTGTGACCAGGCCTCCTGGTGGATCAGAGCCTGATCAACCAGGCTGTTACTGCTGGCTGCACGCAAACCAACGTACGAGCCACAGCCCGGCTGGTCAGGAACCGACTTTAGGTGCTTGTCCAGTGCCAGCTTGAAGACTGCCAGGAGTCTGTTGGTAATCCCCCTTATGTATGCTGGGAGGCAGTTGAACAGTCTCGGGCCCCTGACACTTATTGTATGGTCTCTTAATGAGCTAGTGACACCCCTGCTTTTCATTGGGGGGATGTTGCATCGTCTGCCAAGTCTTTTGCTTTCGTAGTGAGTGATTTTCGTATTTTCCAGGTGTATATAATCATGTATCTCTCCCGCCTGTGTTCCAGCGAATACAGGTTTAGGAACCTCAAGCGCTCCCAGTAATTGAGGTGTTTTATCTCCGTTATGCGCGCCGTGAAGGTTCTCTGTACATTTTCTACGTCAGCAATTTCACCTGCCTTGAAAGGTGCTGTTAGTGTGCAGCAATATTCCAGCTTAGATAGAACAAGTGACCTGAAGAGTGTCATCATGGGCTTGGCCTCCCTAGTTTTGAAGGTTCTCATTATCCATCCTGTCATTTTTCTAGCAGATGCGATTGATACAATGTTATGGTCCTTGAAGGTGAGATCCTCCGACATGATCACTCCCAGGTCTTTGACTTTGGGTTTGTTTCACTCTATTTTGTGGCCAGAATTTGTTTTGTACTCTGATGAAGATTTAATTTCCTCGTGTTTACCATATCTGAGTAATTGAAATTTCTCATCGTTGAACTTCATATTGTTTTCTGCAGCCCACTGAAAGATTTGGTTGATGTCTGCCTGGAGCTTTGCAGTGTCTGCAATGGAAGGACACTGTCATGCAGATTCGGGTGTCATCTGCAAAGGAAGACACGGTGCTGTGGCTGACATCCTTGCCTATGTCGGATATGAGGATGAGGAACAAGATGGGAGCGAGTACTATGCCTTGTGGAACAGAGCTTTTCACCGTAGCTGCCTTGGACTTTACTCTGTTGACGACTACTCTCTGTGTTCTGTTAGTGAGGAAATTATAGATCCATTGACCGACTTTTCCTGTTATTCCTTTAGCACGCATTTTGTGCGCTATTACGCCATGGTCACACTTGTCGAAGGCTTTTGCAAAGTCTGTATATATTACATCTGCATTCTTTTTGTCTTCTAGTGCATCTAGGACCTTGTCGTAGTGATCCAATAGTTGAGACAGACAGGAGCGACCTGTTTCTAAACCCATGTTGCCCTGGGTTGTGTAACTGATGGGTTTCTAGATGGGTGGTGATCTTGCTTCTTAGGACCCTTTCAAAGATTTTTATGATATGGGATGTTAGTGCTATCGGTCTGTAGTTCTTTGCTGTTGCTTTACTGCTCCCTTTGTGGAGTGGGGCTATGTCTGTTGTTTTTAGTAACTGTGGGACGACCCCGTGTCCATGCTCCCTCTCCATAGGATGGAAAAGGCTCGTGATAGGGGCTTCTTGCAGTTCTTGATGAACACGGAGTTCCATGAGTCTGGCCCTGGGGCAGAGTGCATGGGCATGTCATTTATCGCCTGTTCGAAGTCATTTGGCGTCAGGATAACATCGGATAGGCTTGTGTTAACCAAATTCTGTGGCTCTCTCATAAAAAATTCATTTTGATCTTCGACTCTCAGTCTGGTTAGCGGCTTGCTAAAAACTGAGTCATATTGGGACTTGAGTAGCTCACTCATTTCCTTGCTGTCATCTGTGTAGGACCCATCTTGTTTAAGTAGGGGCCCAATACTGGACGTTGTTCTCGACTTTGATTTGGCATAGGAGAAGAAATACTTTGGGTTTCTTTCGATTTCATTTATGGCTTTTAGTTCTTCCCGCGATTCCTGACTCCTATACAGTATATTCATGTCCTTGCTCATGTCAAATAACAATGCAGACAGAAGTGAACCTGATATATTATGAAATTTATGATATACAAGTCCCCTAAGTTGTTTTATCCATAAGGTATACACATACATTCCAGCATTTGAAAAGAATAAATAATAAAAAATCTGTTCTAAAACATTAATTTCATATATAATTAAGAAGAGATAAAATAAAACATATCATTTTGAAATTATACATGAGAATTTAAGACTATGATATCAGTAATGCTTTTAGCTATTTTCAAATAAACAATTATACAGCATTATAAAAATATAAACTGAAAAAAAATATTTTACTATTAAGATACTACTTATTAAGAAATAACCAGGTATGGTGAGGGGTTTAAAATACTAAAAAGGCTCAGAAAGGCCTTCAAGGAATTAAACAAAGAATTCTTAAGAAATTTTAATCACAACAATGGCTAATCCAATCACTGAGTATGTATGCTCCAATGAAGATGGCCACCTGGCTAAACAAGGACAAAAAATTGACAAGGTTCAAAATTTTGCAATCAGATCAGTCACAGAACTGAGAGGAAGACACTTTTTTTAGAATAAAGTTTTCCCTTCACTGAATGTAAATTCAAATAAAATTCTAAGAACATATGAACTTCAGCCACCAGTGAAACAGCTGGTAAGTATCTTTCCCATTACTGTTGTACCTCCAACTTTATGGGCTTCTTTATTTGTGGGTTTTAATTATCTAACATTTTTACTAATTGGAATAAGTGAATAGATTCAATTATCCTATGTCTATAGGGTAACTGGCTTTCCCAAACTTTAATTTCTTTTTATTTTGATCTTTATATACGAATTTCAATAATAACCAAATGTGAGTAATTTATTAGAGATATGGTTTCTGAAAGATAAAATAACCTAAATCTGAAGCAAAATTTGTGCAGATTTAACTTGTATCATTTGCTGTTTTCAGTTTCATGGGACCTCTAGAAATATAACTACAGTAGATATGGAAGGGTAACTGTACCAGGAAAAAAATTATTCACAAACTTTTTTAAACTTTCCTGAACTAGCCTACTAAAGCAAATAAGTATACAGTACATAAAAGAAGTGCATTTATTACCTCTCAGTTGATTTGACCACTTCAAGATGACTCACACCATACATCTCTTTTAAAACAGGTAATGTATCCTGTACTGATGGTACATGCTCCGGAAAGCCTCCACTGTTCACAGTTTGTACTATAGTTTGTTGACCTTCTGTTTGTGTGGAAACTGCACTGACTTGTTGAATGCCATATGGTTTGCAAAGGGCAACGAGTCCACCTATAAAGAATAAAAAAGAGTATGTTAATATACTATACTAGAAAAAGGCAAAGTGCTGTAATACCCTAAGACCTCAAAATAAGGAAGTCAAAGATTGATTTACTGAATACAGCAGGAAAAAGCCTGGCGGTGAGAATCAGGTGTCTGTCTCACTATTAGAAAATGGAGGATAGCCTTTGCACTCTTTAAGCCAAATGACCCACAGTGGCTTACCACTATTTGGCTATAATTGAGTAGGGCAGTAAATTCTGAAAGTAGTTATGATACTGCACAATATAACTATTGGTTTATATTGAGCTAAGTTAAATGTAAATACAATATATTAAATACAATATATTATGTGAAAAGTGGGTTATAGTAAGCGTGTATGCACCTGGAGAAGAGAGAAGTGTACAGGAGAGAGAGAGATTTTGGGAAATGTTGAGTGAATGCGTGGGGAGTTTTGAATCAAGTGTGAGAGCAATGGTAGTTGGGGATTTCAATGCTAAAGTGGGTAAAAATGTTATGGAGGGAGTAGTAGGTAAATTTGGGGTGCCAGGGGTAAATGTAAATGGGGAGCCTTTAATTGAGCTATGTGTAGAAAGAAATTTGGTAATAAGCAATACATATTTTATGAAAAAGAGGATAAATAAATATACAAGGTATGATGTAGCACGTAATGAAAGTAGTTTGTTAGATTATGTATTGTAAAGTAAAAGGACGAAAGTGCAACTAATGTGACATTTTATTGTGGCAATGTTTCGCTCTCCAGGAGCTTTATCAAGCCATTACAAACAATACATGGACACAGAGGGTATATAAAGGCTCAGAGTGAGGTGCAATACTAGTGGTAGTGGTAGTAGTAGTAGTGATAAAAGTTGTAGTAGTAGTAGTAGTAGTAATACAATATGGTAGAACAATTAATTCGTACATGAGTAAAAGGATATAAAAGCTATTACTTGGGTAACATAAAAATAGGTTGGACAAATATAGACTGGATAGAGGCAGCCTGTTTCAGTGTTCACTCTCTGTAATGTGCTTTGTGTAGTATAACAGGAGAGACTATGTGATGGCAGGGTTTACTGTTTTCAGGAGGATTCTTGCTAAGACTTCAGAGATGGTGAAGCTGCCGTTGTTTTGTTTAATTGTATTCGAAACAGCGATCAGTGCTGATTCTAGGCACTTGCGTCTGCGGAAATTAGTTTCTTTGATCACTAATTGGGCGTCCCTGAATTTCATGAGATGACTGGTGTAATTTCGGTGTTGTACACAGGCGTTGTTCAGGTTGTCGTTCCTACATGCGTAAATGTGTTCATTGAGGCGGGTGTCGAGGTTTCTTGCTGTTTCACCTACATAAATCTTGTCACAGCCTCCGCAGGGTATAGTGTAAACTCCTGCGTTGACTGGTTCGTAGTGCTTTGATTTTGTCCTGGTTAGATCCTTTATTGAAGTGCTAGAAGTGATGGCGACTCTGGTGTTAGCTTGTGAAAGTACTTTAGAAACGTTCAGTGCAACCTGACTGTTGGGAAGAATTATAACTTTGTTGGGAGTGGTGTTGGTGCGTGGAGAATTGATGATCTGAAGAGCCCTTTTCTTGCAGTCTTTGATGAAAAAGGAAGGAAAATGTAACTCAGTGAAGGTTTGGTGAATGTACGTACATTCCTCGTCAAGAAACTCAGGACTACAAATTCGGTATGCTCTTAGGAAAAACCCGATGATGATGCCTCTTTTGGTCTTGGTATCTTGACTAGAATAGAAGTGTGTGAGATCATTTTTATTGGTTGGTTTCCGCAGTTGAACCGGCGATCCAGTTTACACTAGAAGAAGAGTCCAATGACAAGCTACCTTTCCTCGACGTCCTCATTCACAAAGTAGACAACAACCTAAGATTTCAAGTTTATCGGAAACCGACCAATAAAAATGATCTCACACACTTCTATTCCAGTCAAGATACCAAGACCAAAAGAGGCATCATCATCGGGTTTTTCCTAAGAGCATACTGAATTTGTAGTCCTGAGTTTCTTGACGAGGAATGTACGTACATTCACCAAACCTTCACTGAGTTACATTTTCCTTCCTTTTTCATCAAAGACTGCAAGAAAAGGGCTCTTCAGATCATCAATTCTCCACGCACCAACACCACTCCCAACAAAGTTATAATTCTTCCCAACAGTCAGGTTGCACTGAACGTTTCTAAAGTACTTTCACAAGATAACACCAGAGTCGCCATCGCTTCTAGCACTTCAATAAAGGATCTAACCAGGACAAAATCAAAGCACCACGAACCAGTCAACACAGGAGTTTACGTTATACCCTGCGGAGGCTGTGACAAGATTTACGTAGGTGAAACAGCAAGAAACCTCGACACCCGCCTCAATGAACACATTTACGCATGTAGGAACGACAACCTGAACAACGCCTGTGTACAACACCGAAATTACACCAGTCATCTCATGAAATTCAGGGACGCCCAATTAGTGATCAAAGAAACTAATTTCCGCAGACGCAAGTGCCTAGAATCAGCACTGATCGCTGTTTCGAATACAATTAAACAAAACAACGGCAGCTTCACCATCTCTGAAGTCTTAGCAAGAATCCTCCTGAAAACAGTAAACCCTGCCATCACATAGTCTCTCCTGTTATACTACACAAAGCACATTACAGAGAGTGAACACTGAAACAGGCTGCCTCTATCCAGTCTATATTTGTCCAACCTATTTTTATGTTACCCAAGTAATAGCTTTTATATCCTTTTACTCATGTACAAATTAATTGTTCTACCATATTGTATTACTACTACTACTACTACAACTTTTATCACTACTACTACTACCACTACCACTAGTATCGCACCTCACTCTGAGCCTATATATACCCTCTGTGTCCATGTATTGTTTGTAATGGCTTGATAAATCTCCTGGAGAGCGAAACGTTGCCACAATAAAATGTGACATTAGTTGCACTTGTGTCCTTTTACTTTACATATTGTCGGTAATTCTACCAACTTTATTACAGATTGTTTTGGTGGATAAAAGGTTGATGGGTAGGCTCCAGGATGTACATGTTTATAGAGGGGCAACTGATATATCGGATCATTATTTAGTTGTAGCTACAGTTAGAGTAAGAGGTAGATGGGAAAAGAGGAAGGTGGCAACAACAAGTAAGAGGGAGGTGAAAGTGTATAAACTAAGGGAGGAGGAAGTTCGGGTGAGATATAAGCGACTATTGGCAGAAAGGTGGGCTAACGCAAAGATGAGTAGTGGGGGGGTTGAAGAGGGTTGGAATAGTTTTAAAAATGCAGTATTAGAATGTGGGGCAGAAGCTTGTGATTATAGGAGGGTGGGGGCAGGAGGAGAGAGGAGTGATTGGTGGAATGATGAAGTAAAGGGTGTGATAAAAGAGAAAAAGGTAGCTTATGAGAGGTTTTTACAAAGCACAAGTGTTATAAGAAGAGCAGAGTATATGGAGAGCAAAAGAAAGGTGAAGAGAGTGGTCAGAGAGTGCAAAAGGAGAGCAGATGATAGAGTGGGAGAGGCACTGTCAAGAAATTTTAATGAAAATAAGAAAAAATTTTGGAGTGAGTTAAACAAGTTAAGAAAGCCTAGGGAAAGTATGGATTTGTCAGTTAAAAACAGAGTAGGGGAGTTAGTAGATGGGGAGAGGGAGGTATTAGGTAGGTGGCGAGAATATTTTGAGGAACTTTTAAATGTAGAGGAAGAAAGGGAGGCAGTAATTTCATGCACTGGCCAGGGAGGTATACCATCTTTTAGGAGTGAAGAAGAGCAGAATGTAAGTGTGGTGGAGGTATGCGAGGCATTACGTAGAATGAAAGGGGGTAAAGCAGCTGGAACTGATGGGATCATGACAGAAATGTTAAAAGCAGGGAGGGATATAGTGTTGGAGTGGTTGGTACTTTTGTTTAATAAATGTATGAAAGAGGGGAAGGTACCTAGGGATTGGCAGAGAGCATGTATAATCCCTTTATATAAAGGGAAAGGGGACAAAAGAGATTGTAAAAATTATAGAGGAATAAGTTCACTGAGTATACCAGGAAAAGTATACGGTAGGGTTATAATTGAAAGAATTAGAGGCAAGACAGAATGTAGGATTGTGGATGAGCAGGGAGGCTTCAGAGTGGGTAGGGGATGTGTAGATCAAGTGTTTACATTGAAGCATATATATGAACAGTATTTAGATAAAGGCAGGGAAGTTTTTATTGCATTTATGGATTTAGAAAAGGCATATGATAGAGTGGATAGAGGAGCAATGTGGCAGATGTTGCAAGTATATGGAATAGGTGGTAAGTTACTAAATGCTGTTAAGAGTTTTTATGAGGATAGTGAGGCTCAGGTTAGGGTGTAGAAGAGAGGGAGAATACTTAACGGTAAAAGTAGGTCTTAGACAGGGATGTGTAATGTCACCATGGTTGTTTAATATATTTATAGATGGGGTTGTAAAAGAAGTAAATGCTAGGGTGTTCGGGAGAGGGGTGGGATTAAATTATGGGGAATCAAATTCAAAATGGGAATTGACCCAGTTACTTTTTGCTGATGATACTGTGCTTATGGGAGATTCTAAAGAAAAATTGCAAAGGTTAGTGGATGAGTTTGGGAATGTGTGTAAAGGTAGAAAGTTGAAAGTGAACATAGAAAAGAGTAAGGTGATGAGGGTATCAAATGATTTAGATAAAGAAAAATTGGATATCAAATTGGGGAGGAGGAGTATGGAAGAAGTGAATGTTTTCAGATACTTGGGAGTTGACGTGTCGGCGGATGGATTTATGAAGGATGAGGTAAATCATAGAATTGATGAGGGAAAAAAGGTGAGTGGTGCATTGAGGTATATGTGGAGTAAAAAAACGCTATCTATGGAGGCAAAGAAGGGAATGTATGAAAGTATAGTGGTACCAACACTCTTATATGGATGTGAAGCTTGGGTGGTAAATGCAGCAGCGAGGAGACGGTTGGAGGCAGTGGAGATGTCCTGTCTAAGGGCAATGTGTGGTGTAAATGTTATGCAGA